GCTGATTTCGGTTTTGTGTTTAGGGCTTGTTCACTACTAGTCTGTCCAGAATAATCAATCAGACCGAAAAATACGCTTACTAGAGAGAACTTCAGAAACTACGGGACGCAACTCTACACTTAGTTAATGAAATCCTCATTACCTAGCTAAAGCACCTCGACTTTTTAAAGCTCCTCACATCTAACATGGAAAGGAAGTTGGGGGGTTCGAGTTCGAGGTCGGTGCTCAGCCAAGGGGGACCAGTCCTCAAGCAGCCCAAACGGCACAACACGGGACCTGCCGAAGATCCTCAGAAGCCATACACATAGGATTGGAAAACCTTAGGGTTAAGGGGTATACAGACCGACACTTTCCGAGCAGATCAAGACCCAGGATCTTTCGACCATCTTAAACGAAGAACTCAGATAATACTGAGGACAAAATGATGATCATCATCATAATCATAGCTCTCCTCGCAAAAGTGAGAATAGCTGCAGCAGTAGTAGTAGTAGTAGTAGTAGTAGTAGTAGTAGTAGGAGGCCGTGGTAGTGGTAGTGGCAGTGGAAGTGGCAGTGGTAGTAGCAGTAGTAGTAGTAGTAGTAGTAGTAGTAGTAGTAGTAGTAGTAGCGGTAGTAGTGGTAGTAGTGGTAGTAGTGGTAGTAGTAATAATATTAATAAGGTTAATAGTAGTAATACTACGAGAAGCAATAACAGTCATCATGTGTCTTCTCCATCTTGAGCCTTTCGGCCTTAAACCCTCAACCCTGAAGCGCAAAGCCTTTCGAATGAACCCTAAACCCTAAACCCCTAAACCCTAAACCCTAAACCCTAAACCCTAAACCCCTAAACCCTAAACCCTAATCCCTAAACCCCGAACCCGGGCCTTGATCGCCTTGGAGGTGGGCTCTGCACCCATGCCTTGGAGCTTGCAGGCTTCTCATACAATTGCGTTAATCATAGCTAGAACAAGGCCTCTGTTGAAGGGCTCCTTTAAGGGTTCGTGAAGAAGACTCTGTTGTGAGAATTCGGGCTTGTATAATAGGTTTGCGCTTCGCTCGGTGCTTAGAGCCTGGGACCCGGTCGGCGAGCCCCCGCAGAAAATGAGTGCCGCGCAAGCCACCGGCAGAACCTGAGTACTGGGGCGAGGATTCAGAAGCTACGCTGAAGCAGCAACTCTTCTAGACAAGCCCAGATCAAGATCCCATTCAGCGAAGAATAAACTCAATGCCTCCTTGATGTTTGCAGAAGGCCATATGCAACAAAGAAGCAGAGACTACTGCTGACCTTCATTCTCATCTGCATCATGACTAGCTTGACTATCAGTTCCACGATTGCCCTGGCTTCCCTGTCTTCATGACCATGACGCCTGTCATGTATCACACGGGAATCAAGCATGCCACTGCCATCAGTAGGTGCATGATCATTACTGTCAAAACAACCAACAACGCTAACCACTAACACTATCAGTCATGTCTGCCCTGGCCTTTTGATGATTATTCTCGTTAAGGTCACCACAACAAGGCTCGCTCCTTCCACTGTCTGGCGCGCCATTTCGACCATGTGTTTTTCACAGTTTTGCAGTAGGGCGATTCTCTAGCCTCTCCATAAAGACTGACGAAACCCTACACCCAAAACCCCTACACCCTAAACCCTAAACCTCTAAACCCCTACCCAGAGAGCCCAATACCCCCTGATTCAGGAATCTACCTTAAATCATAAAGGGCCTTCATATCATGGTTTAAGGTATATTCCTTAGTTTAGGGTTTAGGGTTTAGGGCCCTAAACCCTAAACCCTAAACCCTTAACCCAACTAAGGGGCATTAAGTAAACGCCTAAACCCAAAACTCAACGCGCCGAGGTCTCCACTCCCTTGGCCTCCAGGGTGCGGCTCATAAGCCCAGCGGCAATGCCAGGGTTCGTGTCGGCACCTCGCAGTTTAGGGTTTAGGGGATTAGAGGTTTAGGGGTGTAAGGTTTAGGGGTCTTGGGGTTTGGGGGTTTAGGGGATTAGGGCCTTTAGGGTTTAGGGGTTTAAGGGTTTAGGGGTTTAGGGGTTTAGGGGTTTAGGGTTTAGGAGTGTAGGATAGAGGGTTTAGGGGTCCAGGACCACGGCGAGGTTTAGGGCTCTGGAGGAGAAATCCTCGTCCTTTGAAGCCGGAGGAATCCAAAACCCTCTCTAAAAGAGTCCACAGGCGTTCTAAAGTGTAAGGCCTTCATCAATTAGAACCAGGCTTTGGGGAAGCTATATTATGGAATATACTCCCTAATCCCTCAAACCCCCAAACCCTAACCCCCAAACCCTCAACCCTAAACCCTAAACCCCTAAGCCCCTAAACCCTAAACCGAAGCCCCCAAACCCTAACCCCCAAACCCTAAACCCTAAACCCTCAACCCTAAACCCTAAACCCCTAAACCGAAGCCCTCAACCCCAACCCCCAAACCCTAAACCCTAAACCCTGAACCCTAAACCCCTTAACCCTAAACCCTAAACCGAAGCCCTCAACCCCAACCCCCAAACCCTAAACCCTAAAACCCTAAACCCCAAACCCGAAACCCGTATCCAAAACCCGAAACTCTGAAGCGAAGGACTCCACCGAGCACTCGGCTGATGTAGACCAGTTCGGGTGGCTCCTCTAGGGGTTTAGGGTTTAGGGTTTAGGGTTTAGGGTTTAGGGTTTAGGGTTTAGGGTTTAGGGTTGAGGATAAGGTTAGAAGTATGGGCCCCTGATATGAACACTTAGGCCTTTCTAGGGGCCCTTAAGGGTACATATAGGGTATATAACAGGTGCATGAGGATCCCAGGGTTAGGGGCCCATACTAGGGGCCCATGGTTTCAACCTTGGACTGTAGGAGCATCGGAGGACGGGGTCCAACTCACAGGGTTGATAGGGGGGTTCTGTGGAGGGGAACCTTGTGGGTTGCACCTTGCCGAAAATCGGCTCAGGGTCTAGGGTTTAGGGTTTAGGTTCTAGGGTTTAGGGTTTAGGGTTTAGGTTTTAGGGTTTAAGGTTTATTGTGTTGCGACCCAACATGGCGCAATGGGGCTTAAGGGGGGCAAGTGGGAAACCCATTAGGCCCCACTGGGCCACAACCGGCCGGTAAACCCACAGGGGCCCCTTATCAACCCTGTGACCAATGAGGGCTTAGGGTTTAGCGGTTTTAGGTTAAGGGGTTAGGGATTTAGGGTTTAAGGGGTTTGGGTTTAGGGGTTTCGGGGAATAGGGGGATAGGGGTTACGGCTTAGAGAGATAAAGCGAGAGAGAAAGAGAGAGAGAGAGAGAGAGAGAGACAGAGAGAGAGAGAGAGAGAGAGAGACAGAGAGAGAGAGAGAGCGGGCCTCAGGCTTTCACGAGCTGCAAGGGACGCAGACATTCGGGGTCTTCTAGTGACGTGGTGCCTCTTCAAGTGTTTCAAGGATTGAAGTGCAACGCGGTACCCTCTTAGCCTAGGATCCAGCTCACGTAAGAACAACGACTTCTTCAAGGCTCCGCATCTTTTCCTCCGATCGGCTGCAACGTTCCTTGGAAGTTACCCGCAAAGCCCACATCCCCTATTTAGGGAAGATGCCTTAAATCATGACATTAAGCCATCTACAAATTCAGCTGCTTTCCTCACTTAAAGGTAGGTTTAGGGACCTCCGGTCTAGGGTAGATATTAATTCTCAAATTCCTCGATAATAAGTCCTTGTCTTCGGCCGGCATCACGGCAGCAACGCGAAGACGCTGCCTGGATTCGGCAGACAGGCAAGAGCAGCCATCACCACAGCGGAGATGACTCCATATCCTGACTGCGCAGACATACTCCAAGTTCAAACTTGTAAACTGTAAAACATCATAGCTAGTACAAGGCTTTATACACTGAAACGTAAACTCTAAACCCTAGGCCCTAGGCCCTCAACCCTGAACTGGCTACCCCTGCCGCTGTACCCACGAGGCCCCTGCAACATCGTGGCTGTCGTCCGCCCCGAAGGTGCCAGCCGCTCGGGCAACTTAGCCTGCAGTTTCTGCAGGCCTTATGGCTTTGGGGTTTAGGGTTTTGGGTTTCGGGCATTTGGTTTAGAGTTTAGGGCTTAACGTTTAGAAAGGTTTTTTGGTTTTGGAAGAATAATTTTGGTGCGTCGGAAAACCCGATTCTGAAGAGATTGAATTTCCATGTGCTGGTCTTGTGCTGCTATGCTCACGAATATTGCTGGCACCAGCTGAAACGCCACTATCAGCCCTCTGAATTCAGTATAGAGGAACATGATTAAGAAGCCTGGGCTCTTTATTAGGATGCGTCATATGAATCCTAATATTTTTGTTAGAGGACCAGGGTTTCTTGATCAGGTTCCTACATTAATCTCACAACCGCCTGTCAACACAGCGACGACCGCAGCAACTGGAAGTCGCATGCCGGGCCCTGGGCCATCACAGGGTGGATGGCCAGGACTTTTCCATTAAACTCCTGCAAGCGCACAAGGTGCTTTTGGCTTCTTCTTTTGGCGTGACTTGTCATTCAGGAGCGCAGGGCTTCGAGTTCTTTGCATGTCCTTTTGTGTGGTGGTTTCCTCTCATGCAACGGTACTGCATCATGTCGACATCGGCCCGGCTCATGAAGGTTAACTACAAGTCCATTCCGCTGGGCTGACGTGATGTATTGCAACAGTCGAGAGCAGGGGCAACGCAGCCATCCATATCGTTGACCAATTGCCCATACGTTACAACCGGGAAGGTCTCTGTACAGTAGAACTGTAACTCGAAGCAGGTGATCTCCATTGAAACATCTATGGAAGCCAACATAGGGACCTGAATAATTGGCAGGTCTCTGGTACCCGGAGAGCCCAACTCATTTTCATGAGGAGTAACCTTAAGCTTTAAGTCAGAACAGAAGGCCCCCATTAATGTTAAGGTATCAAAGTTCTACAGGCGGCGCTGTGGAACCGAGGCACGCTATTTTCACCTCTAAAGGGCGCCCTCAAGCCGAGTCGTATGCCAGCGGAAGATAAACGGTGGCGAGCTCCTATGCTGCCATGCCACACGATTTTCACCCGTCCTCGGCTCGCGCTTGTTTGGCGACCTTACGGGAATGCCTCCCCGCGCGAATCAGGAGCTTTCGCTCTCTGGCCGCATCCGAAGGATCGAGCTGCCATACGCCTTCGGCGAGGGCATGCAAAAGGGGCTCCCTGTCGCAGTTCTCCTTCGTGAGGACGTCTGCAAGCATCTGCGAGGTATCCACCCATGTTGCAAAGCCTGGGGCGTCATCATCATACGTGTTTTCTCCGATCATCTCGCGCACCTGGGCTATGAGGATTCTCACCCGCTTGTCTTGGGGCTGGCCGGCGTCCTTGTTCAGCGTCTGCTCAAGCGAGCGGGCGTCGGTGAAGCAAGCCATCTTCTTCTTCAAGTAGAGCTGGTCCAGGTCCCGCACGGACACGTTCGGGTGAAGGACCTCCATGAGGAGGGAGCGCAGGTACTCGGCAGCCTCGGCCCCGCTGAGGAACCCATTTGCCTCAGCAGCCAATGTGCTACGGCACACCCGCTTGATGCTCCCCGAGAAAGCCTCCACGATGTAGATCGGCACCGGTCCTCCTCGGAAGATGTCGGGGCTCGTGAGCCCCACCACATAGCCGCACTGGCTCTTGGATCCTTCCGCGTTGGCAAAGCTGCTGTCGGCAAAGGCGAAGGCGACCGCGTCCTTGAGCTTAAGGTCGCTCTTCCTAAAGCACCACCTTGCCTCGGAGGTATCCTTCAGCATCTTCACGGCCCGGTTCAAACGCACGACGTCACTGACCTTGGGGTGGCTGACGGACTGGGCAGCAAGGCTCACGTTCACCATCAGGTCCGGCCTCGACTGTCTGGTCACCCAGCCCATCTGCCCGATGAGCCCGCGAAAGGCCGTCTTCTCAGCCTCCGTCAGTGGGGTGTTCACGGCCTTCCTCCTCTCGGTCGGGAGGATCATGTAGTCGATCCCTTCGATCGCGTCCATCTGGTCCAAGAAGATCTCGCCGTCGATCTGTTTGATGTTCTTGCCGCAGAACCGGAAGGAACCCTTCTTGATCGTCAGGTGCAGCTCGGTCTCGAGTTCTTTAAGGGTCCCCGCGTAGGCTTCTCCTTCTCCGGCACTGTACAGGTCATCGACGTGGGAGATCATGATGCCCATTAGGAGGGGGCCGTCGGAGAGGATGAAGAGAGCGGCTTCGATGGACGACATCCTCCACCCATGCTTGCGGAGGGTGTGGTAAAGTTTCTTCCGCCACTGTCGTCCTGCGTCTCGGGTGCCGTAGATGGACCCCTTTGCCCTCAGCAAATCGTTGGGTCCCAGGCCTGGTGGTGGAGGCCGAGGTGCCCTCAAAATGAGGAGCCGGCTTATCCCTTGAGACTGCAGATAGGCCGTCGAGGCGTCACTGGCCGCGACCTCCCATCCATTCAAAACCGCCACGGCAGAGAGGAAGTTGAATGCGAGTAGGCTCGCAGTTGGGCTGTCGGAGCGGATGTCACGAGAGTCCTCTTGGCACCCTTGCACCACCAATCTTGACTTCGCGGCGAAGGGGTACTCTTTCATGACCTGCTCCTTGCTCTTCCCTGTCTTCCCTCGCACATGTAAGGCGAGGAGCCTTTGCTTCTGGTTCTTGTCGGTGTGCACCCACCTGGTCCCGATCACGCGCACATCGCCCGGGAGCTGCGCCACTTGGTCTGGGGTGAGCACTTCCACGGCGTTGAACTTCTCCCAGGATGACCATTCCTTGGCCATGGCCGCAACGAACTTCTCCCTCTCAACCGGACTAAGGTCCTTGAGCTTAATCTCGGAGCGAACAGCTTTGCCCGTGAGGAAGATGTCGGCGGGCGTCAGGTAGGAGAAGAGGTCTTCAGCATCTTCTTCTTCATCCGTGGTGTCGGTCTCGTACTCCTCAGTGTCACCGACCATCTTTCTTAGCCGCTGTTCCCTGACCATATGCGACACAGGCGGAAGGTCCCAGGGCACGTCTTCTGCAAGATAGGGGTCAGGTGCTTCGGATCGCCCACCTCGAAGAGGACGATATCCATCAAGACGGTCTGGGTCATGAAAGGCTTGTGGTACCTGGTGTGTTGCCGCGGGTGGCGGCGCGGGCCCGACCAGAGGTGTGCTAGGCATAGGTTCTGGCTCTGCGGAAGAGACTGTCGACGACTGCCTGTGCATATCTACATCTGGTGCCCCCGCGCCCGTCCTTGAGTTCTGCCGTGGTTCAAGCGGTGCTTCTTGGCTGGAAAGAGCACCTCCATCTGTTGAGGATGATGCCCCCGCGCCCGTCCTTGAGTTCTGCAGTGGTTCCAGTGGTGCTTCTTGGCCGGGACCATCTCCATCAAGTAGCCCTTCGTCATCTTCAGGAACCGGAGGAAGTAGGTCCGGCGTAGTCACGATATCAGTTCCCGGAACCAAAGCAGAGGGCGGTGGTCGAGTAGTTGCGGCCACCGAAGATGGAGCCACGCTTGTCCTCGGCGCGGCCCTCGACGTACTCTCCAAGGTCGTAGGTGGAGGCACCCTAGTGGTAGGCAACCTCAAGTCCATGTAACCCTTGGCCCCGCGCGCATAGCTCGGGGGGAGAGCGACCTCCGGCACAGAGTGGGCGGCCAGCAGCTCATCTTCACTCGCAAACCGCAGCTGCTCCCCGGTAACCAGGATCACGCTTGCTCCGAAGCGCAGCCAGTAAGAATGTGGCTGGCCGCCTTCGGTTGCTGGCTCCGGCTGTTCAAGACGGCGCTGGTTTCGGATCTCAACTCCTATCACTCTGGCTGGCCCATGCCAGCGGTAAGCACGAGAAGCTCCGGGAAGTACTTGTGCTCTGTAGAAGTAGACATAGGACCCGACAGGAAAAGGGCCTCGAGTGGGAGCCGCCTGGTGGAGCAAAGCACGGCGCACTCGGCCGTCATTGTCGAGCCTGATTTGGGCCACTCGCGCTGCCTCTCGCATACCCAAACTTCTTGCCATCATTGAGTGCGGGTCCGCGGCTGCCTCAAGTATTTCGAGGCGGTCTTGGTCTCCTTCTTGAAGAAGGCTTCCTGGCAACTTCGTGTCGGGCCGACCCAAGACCCACTGTACGGGGGCATATCCGGATCGCCTCGGGAAGCTGTTCCGGACCTGGGTGACGATGGCAGTGGCAACGGTCATGTCCCTGAGGCCGTTCACCTGCATATCGACAACGACCCTTGCGAGTACGTCCTTCCAGAGACCGCCTGCTTTCTCCACCTTGCCGTTTTTCCACGGAGCCTCCAAAGGCATCACCTCTTGTTCGACTCCGAAACGCTTCAAGTAAGAGGCGAAGGCTCCCATGAACTCCTTTCCACGGTCTACCTGGATGCTGGAAGGTAGCCCCGCCCAGTTGGACCAAGACGTGAGGAAGTGTCGAAGCACAGCAGAGGAAGCCGGTGGCCCCTGAGAAGTTCCCATGCAGGATACAACTTGGAAGCCCGTAGCCTCACAGAGAACATTGAGGAAGCTGAAGAGCACTCCGTTGACGTCCTTGGCGTAGAAGACATCGGCCTGGACATGGGCATTGAACTCGTACTTCCCGGGGAGGCGCACAGGCTTCGGCCGTCGGTTCCGATGGGACTCCCCGCAAGCATCGCAGGAGAGATAGTCGACCCCCTTCACGGCCGACATCCGGGCACCTTGCCGACGAAGTATCCTTTGGAGCGTTGTGTTCGTAGGGTGCCCGAACTGCACGTGGAGCTGGCGAAGGACCTTGCGGATCTCCGGGTCGAGGGCTAGCCACCGACGTCTCCTCTCGGACTCGGTCATGTTCAGAACGGGATCCAGCTGGTCAGCCATGATAGCCCGATGGCTGTGATCGTCGCCATCTGCGGCATACCTCAGGTGCTCGGCTCCCGTAGGCTCCTCGATCAGCTCGGCAAGGGTCCGGTCGGTGGCGTCATCCGGCGGAACCGGCTCGACGTCCCCAGGGCGAATATAGACCGGTGGCGCGTTGAACTGCTCCGTCAAGGTGGCAGGTCCCCTCTTCTTCCGTTTTCGAAACATCCTGAGAGAGACCGGCTCTAGGGGAAAGGCCTCCTTGATCTCGGCGACGGCCGTCTCCTCGACGACGGCCTGCTGGACCACAGCGTCCAGGATGTGTTCATGTAGTGCGCGGTCGTCGTGCCACCTTGCCTTCGCTGAGGACCAGCCCTGCAAAGCGCTCTCGAGGGTAACGAGGGTAGTCAAGAAGGTCGGGCCGTGGGCCCCGCCGGCGGCAAAGGCCACCAAATCGCCTGCGTCGATCATCTTGTAAATCTCCTCGTTCCCGGGGCCTTCGCTGTAGCTCCAGGACCTCGGTGCTGCAAGTATCACATGCCGCTTGGCACGGGCACGTGCCACAACAATCTTCTCAACAAACTCGGTGTACTTGTCGTGCTCCTGGTGGCTGTCCTTGGGAAGGAGCACCTTGTTGAGGCCTGGGTCGACCTGGGAGAACGGAAGCGGCAGGCAGGCGATGGTCACATAGGGGTCTTCAACCTGGAAGTCGTTGTGAATCCGCCGTCTTGCCTTGTAGTTGAAGCTGGTCTCCGGCTCGGTGCCGCCAGGCAAAAAAGCCACAGCCATGCCCGCCAAGACACAGAGGAGGCTGAAGCCGACACCAAAGCCATAGAGCTGCTTCACCCAAGTCCGTCCTGCGCGGGGCTTGTTTGGGACCTGGGCCTTGCCACGGAGAACTCGCCGGAAAACGAAGTCGTCGCTGTCCACCGCAGAAGACAGTCCCTCCAGCTTCTTGCCTTTCTTGTTGGTGACCTTGCGGAAGGCGTGCGGGGTGAGCAGCATGGCTTCCTCGAAGTAGTTAAGGTCCTCGGTGGCGTTCTCCGTTAAGAAGCCCTTTGGGCCTCCATCTCGTTCCTCCTCTTCCCAGTTCTCGACGTCGAGGCGCAGAGTGTGCATGTGGTCCAGGTGGTCGTTCCAATCGTCTGGGTTCCATCCTTCGGGCACCTCCGGATCCTCCTGCGAGTCGCCCAGGCAGAGCTCCTGCATCTCGAAGATCTCCTGCTGGGTCATGTACCGCCTCTCGGGCGAGCCCTCGTTCTCTTTGGTGGCGGTGGTGGCTGAGGTCCGTCCTTGTTCGCTCGAAGTTGCAGCCTGGACGGTGCTGGTCGCAAGCGCCTGTTCGGGCAAAGAGCCGTCATCGGTGAAGGCCGCGCGGTCGAAGTCGAGAAGGTCCACGGCCAAGTGGCCACGCGATGTCTTCACGAGGGGGAGGTCGGCGACACCAAGGGCCACGAAGCTCACCGTGCCCCTTCCAATGTCCATGACCGTGCCCATTTCCTCCATGAAGGGCCTCGACAGTAACAAGGGCAAGGGGCCCGGCACCTCAGAACTACACATCTCACCGTGCACCTTAGCCAGGCCGACGGGGTAGACCTTCACCACCTCGCTCTTGATGTGCCCGCCGACGCCCTTGAACAACTGAGGCCGCTGGCGGGTTCCAAAGGAAAGCCCTAGGGCCACAAGCTCCTTTTCGAAGCGCTCCGCCCAGGCCTCCCCGTGCATTGTTTTGGTGCAGCCGCTGTCCAGGATGGCAAGGCCGGGCGGGTCCGATTCGGAGGCCACATAGGAGGAGGGGATCAGCTCCTCGCCCGCGCCGTCGCCAGCCAGGCCAACCATCATCACGTCGCAGTCCTGCTCGCTCGTAATGTCGAGGCGGTGCTGGTCCATTGCCACGGGTATGCGAAGCTGCCTCTCGTAGAAACCATGTCCTGTGGTCGATGAACTCGCTTCCTCGGATCATGCCCGGCGCCCTGCATCCTTGCAACCGCCTCCCGGATCAGCGTCAGGCGGCCGAAGAGATAAAACCCAAAGGCGTAGATCTCCGGCTGCATGGGGTGGTTGCCGAGGGCAAACGCCATGATCTGTGAACACCACCACGAGCACTCAGAGCAAGAAGCCACATCCACGTAGGTGCGCCCAGCGTACGGAGTAGACGGGCCCAGCAGGTGATCATCGGCAGGGACTGGCTGCAGTATGTCGAGGTCCTCGGCGGCAAGCTGGGGCAAAGGGGGAAGCTCTAGGGAGGCGCAGACGCAGACGCCGTACACCCAGATGCGCTGCTCCATGGTCTCGTGGCGCACTATCCTCGCGATCGGTGCTCCAGCCGAGGCCGTCGAAGGAAGAGACGACGGTGTAGAGTATCCGGGGTTCTCGCCGACCATGGTCCAGGGATTGTCTGTCGATCTCCGGGCTTTGTCTGGCTCGGGGCCGTTAAGCGCTCATCTCCCTGGGCCATTTGGAGCCGAACCTGAAAGGTTGCTAAGCTTGGTGCCTCCTTCTTCGCCTTCGCGGCCTCGAGCTCGGCGTGGTGGAGGGCCTGAGTCCAGACCCGGTGTCGGGCCTTCCTTCCCATTGTTCCCAAAATGATCATGGTGAGGAACCTCCACAGCTCGAGCGGCTCCTTGCGCCGGGCCTCCAGCACGGCACGGTCACATTCGTGCTCCTTGCAAAGCACCTGTCTCACATGCCCATTGGCCGACCGATGAAATTTCTTCTCCTCGCCGCCGTTGTAGCTAGCATGTTGGCACAGCTCGTCGGCCCTCGGCACCATGTAGGACTCGGGCTCGGCACCGTGCAGCTCGAACATGTTGGAGAAGACGCCGAACTTCGCGGTCGGGCTCGGGAGAAGGCCCGTGATGAAGACCTCTTCCTCCTGGGCGGCATCCTCCGTGCCGTCCACGTAGAAGGCGGAAGAGGAGGACGGCTTCTTCTTGGGAAATCCCCGCTTCTTGGGCGAGGCGCCCGGGCTCCCCTTCCCGGTCTTTCTTGTTTGCTGGCACTCAGGGTCGCCAGCCCAATGCCCCTTCAGACCGCAAACGGTGCAAGGGGTGACGGTCTTCAAGAACTTGACGGCGTTGCGGCGGGACTCCTTACCTTTCTGGTCGAGGGTCATCTCCCCCTTTGCTCGGAAAGGGAAGCTCTGTGGTGCTCCCTTCCCCGAAGAACCCGCGCCTTGCCCCTTGCGTTTCTGAAGGACGGTGGCCAGGGCTTCCGCGAGCTCTTGGTCGTCGGTGAAGTCAAGGTCCTGAACCAGAGCCTCCACAGGATCGTCGTCCGTTGCCTCGCCGCCCTCATAGGCCTCCTCATCGTAGTCCTGGTCGCCCTCTTCAAGGAAGACCTCCTCACCGTCGAAGTCGTCCTCCTCCACGGCGAGGGCGTAACCACGACCTTTCCCCTTGGCTGGTCTGGGTGCGAAAGGCCGCGGCCGGAACTTCCCAGGAGCGGTGGCGGCAGCAGCGGCAACCCGAGAACACCCCAAATAGTCCTTGCGAAACACCGGCTTCCCCGAGCAGGTCGGGTACTGGATCCTTAGGGCATGGGCGATCTTCTTAAAGTCGTACTCGTTGTTCACGGAGGCCAGCACGTTGAGCTGCTCGCGGCTGTCAAGGCCGCCAAAGGCCCGGCCAGGACTTCTTCCAGTCTTCTGAAGTCCTGCTCTCTCCTCAGGATATACTGCTGCATTGTCTCGGCCTGCATGCGCCAAACGTGCGGGCTGTAGAAGGCCTGGAAGAAGAGCTCGTTCGTCTTGACCGGGGCCTCCTGCTCAATGTTGTCCCTCAGGGTCTGCAGCAGGAGGCGTATCCCTTTATCGGTGGGCTTGCCGTCGGAGCCTTTTGTGATAAGGCTCGTGTGGTCGAGCTTGCGAACCGCGGAGTAGGCAGCGGAAGTGAGCCCGGACCTCAAGTGGACAGGCGTGGCCACCTGATGGTCTGACCCTTCTCTTCCATACCAAAGATCCCAGCATCTCTCTGCGTACTCCTCGTAGAGCTCGGGCTCGCCCCCGTATTGGGGAACTCCAAATCGATCGACCTCCAAGCGGGTCATCTCGGTCGCTTGCCCAGGCACCGGCACAAAGGCGGGTGCGGAGAATTGTCGGCCTGGTGGTTGCCAGACCTCGCAGTGGTGGGCTCGAAGCGCAGCGCCGACGGCGCTGTAGCGAAAGCCCCTGCCTCGAGCAGGGCTCCGCTTACCATCAAAGTTCTACAGGCGGCGCTGTGGAACCGAGGCACGCTATTTTCACCTCTAAAGGGCGCCCTCAAGACGAGTCGTATGCCAGCGGAAGATAAACGGTGGCGAGCTCCTATGCTGCCATGCCACACGATTTTCAAGGTATATTCCCTAGTTGAGACATGTATCTTAAATCATAGCAGGAAGTCCTGCAGTCTAGATTCTCTGGATTTGCCTAGGTTGTTTAGGGTGTAGGGTTTAGGGTTTAGGGTTTAGGGTTTAGGGTTTAAGGTTTAGGGTTTAGGGTTTAGGGTTTAGGGTTGAGGGTTCATGCACACCAGAGCAGCGACGGCAGCTGTTCTTTTATCGGAACTGGAAGCCGGCCTCGTTCACATAATCGCCAGCTATCTTGATAGCTTTCAGAGCGCTGTACGTCGCGCTGGGCCCAATCTTGGAAAGAAAATTAGGGCCAAGAGACAGAAAAAGCAAGACAGCAAGAGGTACGCATCCACTCAAATTGAATCATCATCCCTGTCAATGTCATACCGCATAGACACACAAACTGGCATTCTAAACCAGAAGCTCACGATCCGAAAACTCTCTATAAAGGAACCTTGTCACGAGCAGCCCTTGGAAGTCAAGGTTTTTGGGCCTGCTGCTTTCGCTACTGTCTTTACCACCACCATGAACAGGATGACCAGCAACAGCAGCAGCAACAACAACAACGGAGACCAATTGCCTTGTCCTAGTCCTTCTGCTTCTGCTTCTCACAATGCATTCTGTGGGCATGACTATAGTCTTGCCCTTCGATCATAAGACACTTGTATTCATGAATCTGTGGTACATATGGTACATAATACTACGCTTGTTCTGCAACTTCTGCCGCAACTGCTGAGTTTAGCAGTAGTGTGATCGTCAGACAAAGGCTCCTCGCTCGCAGTTGTTAGCAGACTTTGCTTAAAACTGTTGGATATTGTTCCGCATAAGGAAGGAGCCGCATGCCTCCGCATGACCGTGGCATTCACAACATGCCCTGTTTCTGGCACTACTTGCCTATACTCAGACACTACAGTCGTTGCCGTGCAGAAATCGTTGTCGCTGCTTCTCATTGCTTCTTTGTAGCCTTTATATAGACACACCGGCTGAGTCCCCTAATGTTCAGAAGCATCCCACCCGGTGTGCCTAGGCAGCTCCTCCCCGCCTCTGCGGCCATCTCTGAATCATGTAATTCCCGCACGGGATCTTGATTCTATGGATCCTGATTACGACTCGCATCCTGATCTCTCTCGACTATTAGGGTTTAGGGTTTAGGGTTTAGGCAAATACCTCGCTACAGATGATGAATCTGACCCGTCCAGGGCCCGGGCTCCATCCACAATGCAGCCGGAGCCACTCCGCAGGCGAGCAGTAATGGCGCCCGCCAGCTTTCCAGTCTAGGCTCCCGTTTAGGGTTTAGGGTTTGGGGTTTAGGGTTTAGGGTTTAGGTTGGCGACATTTGCATGGAGGAGCTTATTCGTATTGGTATGATTATAAATCATATTCTTGTTCTTAGTATTACTGTTATTCATATTAGTTTTATTATTGTCAGGATTAAATAACGCCGCTACTATTACTATTTCGTGCTATTACTCTTTGTAGAATTATGAGTATCACATACAAGCATTATTGCTATTACTAGTCTAACTACCACTAGGTAGATGGGGAAGTCAAAAGCTTCTGCATAGAGCAAAGCTGCCCTTCCTGCAGATTGCATCGACAAGGCTCGCTGTTAGCACCACAACTACAGAAACCATGGTTACTTAGTTGCCTTTTGCTGTGAGTATGATTATGAGTCTGAATGTTGTTATTGTGATGCTGGCCCATTATCAAGCTGAAGGCTTGCAAAAACGACTTCCTTCTTTCACACACGATAGCTTTTCTCTTCTTACATTTACCGATTTACCGCCACTCGTCCACTGCTACTATGGTCACTACCACTACAACAGTATCCATACATGCAAGCAGATAGAAGTATATATCTAGCCAGCTCTGTAGGACAGCAGATACAATATACTGACCATAAAGCCTGTTTGCTAAATCCTAAACCCTTTTCCCTAAACCCTAAACCCTGTTTGCTAAATCCTAAACACCGATGCCTAAATGCCCAAAAAACCAAACCCCTAAACCCTAAACCCTAAACACCATAAACCCAAAACCCTGAACCCTCATGCCCTGCGCTGGTGACAGCCGGGCCCAAGGCATTCACGCTGGCCGAGGCCTGCAATGTGCTGGTCTTGGCCTTGCCCCGAGAACGCACCAAAGAACCGAGATCACACAATGATACATATTCCTCCTGCAGACATCTGTAAAATTACGTGGAAATGCGCAAACACATATATACCAAGAAATACACCATACAGTGCAGGTATTAAGTAGCTCCACTGTCTTATACTCACACATCCAACTGCAACGGTATACATATGTACGTATTTATATATATATATATATATATATATGTGTGTGTGTGTGTGTGTATGTATGTTTATATATATATATATATATTAATGGATTTTCTGCTATGTCATGTCATGTAATGTAACGCAATGTAAGACAGTAATGCAATGTAATGTGATGTGATGTGATGTGATGTAACGTAATTGAATGGAAGGTCATGTACTGTAACGCAATGTAATGTGATGTAATATAATGTATGGTATGTATGTATGTATGTATGTATGTATGTATGTATGTATGTATGTATGCGTGTATGTATGTATGTATGTATGTATGTATGTATGTATGTACGTACGTATGTATGTGAGTATGTATATATGCATGTACGTTTTACGTATATGTGCCGGGTATGTAAGTACACCGTATCTGCATGTATACAGATATATGTAAAAACCCGAGTGTATGTGCTTATATATAGATAGATGTGCATGTATGTGTCTGTGTGTGTGTATATGTATGTATATATATATATATGTACATATATATATATTTATTTATTTTTTCTGTTTAACCGATTTTTCATTTATACACGTCTGTGCAATAGTGCATGTACGTGTAGAATTCACATTATACGGTATGATGCCCTGCAACGGACTCACCTGCGAAAACAGCTTACAGTACACAACCATAGTGACACTCAGAGGCAATCACTGTCACTTGCATGTATGTGCCACAAGACATGCAGTGACAGCTAACAGATGTACAACATCGCATATACCAAGTAATACTTATGGCGGGTTGCAAAGCGACAACAATACGTAAATGCAGGCAAACATGAGGAAAAAGGGAAAGAGATGTGTAAAAGTTCATGCCAACATCTTGCAATCTCTGATGGCATGTGATATTGTATAGGTGTATATCACGTTCTAATGCGACAGGCGAACAAAGGTAGTAAATACTGCCACAGCCACGAAACAACCTGTCAGGGCATACAGCCTAAAAGGCGGTACCTGACCAGAATCTACCAATAGAGCTCAACATAGAACACCATCTCGTGGCAATATGCAGCGCGCTGGAAAAGCATGCTACGGGATATAAGCACCAATACTAGTATGCAGACTGAGCAATACTATGTGGCCATACACTAGGCTGTGTATCGAAGCATGAGACCATCTATGACTACTTGGTGAGATATACAGAAAAAGATCACCAATAACAAAGGTGTCACATGGTGACAGATTACGATGCTGCACGACGAAGAAGCCAAATGTGCTACGACACGATGGTATATGATTAAATGATGATGCGCCAAGAACGCAGGACGATCAACTTCAACCCATGAGCTGCTTGCCTCATTTTGGGTCTTTGTTAAGCGCAATGGGCCCTCTCTCATTTTGGTTCTTTTTGTTTAGGGCTTAAGTTTACGGCCTTGTTTGCTACAGACACAAACGAGCCCTAAGCCCCAAGTCCGAAGCAGTGAAAGAAGCTAACCCCCGCCGGCCTCGACCCCGGAGGCGAAGAAACGCCCAGCCCACTGGGCACCTTCTGCAAAGCAGGGCTTAGGGTTTAGGGTTTAGGATTTAGGGTTTCGGGTTCAGGGTTTAGGGTTTCGGGTTTAGGGCTTCGGCTTTAGGGTTTCGGGTTTTGGGTTTCGGGTTTGGGGTTTAGGGTTCAAGG